GCTTGCAGAAAACGCAAATACCGCCCGCTGAAGATTTGGCCACGCCCCGAAATCCTGCTGACCGCCTGCAGAAAACCGCGAGTTTGCGGACCGCCTGCCCCCGGCGATTATCTGAGTAGGTCGATTTCGCATTAGTAGATTGCAATGTCTGAGTTTTGAGCATTGACGAGGAATCCAAGTTCACATGTAGCTTTGCGCTAACATGGATGGCTGCCTTTTAAAGCATGAACATCCACACGCGCATATATATTTAGGGAAGTTCTAAAGCCTTGGGTGATGTGTGGTCCCATGATCAGCATTAGTGGATAAAAAACAATTTTAGAATCAGATGATGTGTATGCCAAACAACTTCTCAAGAAGGGTCTCCTTGCCAACGAAAAAGAACGCTTAGCAGAAACGACTATTTCAAAGAAAAAAAACGTCTGCAATTTTGTTATCATTCAATTCGAAAGAACTGCATTCATAGAAACGTTTCTAAGCGAGAAATTTGCGAAGATCAAGAAATTTTTGTTTTGGACGGCATCGCGTAAGTATCTCAACAATGTCCACATACAGGCACTGATACAAATTTTTCTTCCAAATATCAAGGTAACGAAGATGTTGACGGCGCACATATTTTGAGCAGTGATGACTAAGGCTGCGTTCATACTGATCCGAAAGTTCAGGAACAGTTCCGGCACAGCGCTCGAAGTAGGCGTTGTGCTGAAACTGTTCCCGAACTTCCGGGTCAGTATGAACGCAACCTAAATGTCCAATCTGAGGCACGGTTTTCTTTGCAAAAGTTGTTGCAAAAATAGGAATATTCTTTGAGAACTTTCATTATGTTTGTGTATCGTTTGTCCTCAACAGTGTACACTGGCACATCTAGCGCATACCACTCGCTGCGTTTCGCTCCTTCCAACATATTCGAGCACATCGTTCCTTGAAAGAGCATGTTGAGAGCGTCGAATGACAAGTTGGTGTGCCAGGGATGCCTATGGATATATGGGATTTTCATTGGGGCCATAGATCGACGATGATTCTAAGCGCTAATCAATGAAGATATAGAAAGACTCATCTCGTGGGTTTTTAGTTAATTAGCGCTAAGAAATATTGTCGGTCTGTGACGAAATCACAGAAAAAAAAGATTGTGTGGACATTCTGAAGTACCACCACACAGTCTAGAAAATCTATTTGCTTATTCTATTCATAAGGTCTTTCATAGGGTTGTTTCATACTGCAGTCGCTGCAGCACTGACCGTCGATCGATTGATATCTTTTGCCCGCTCCAATATGACTGCAGCTGCTGCAGCGATTGCAGTATGAGACAATCCATAGATCCGGAGTTTCTTGAAATAAAATATTGACGAGATACAGAAGCTGGTAAATCATTTACTTCGTACAGCAATTCATAAAACCGCTTTCAGTAATAGTGTATGGATTTACGAAGGGAATCATTCAAAAACCTTTCGCAAGCGAAAAAGTTCCCATTCGCCTTCTTGTGACGTCACAGGAAGGCGGAAAAGAAAGAATAGGACCCCTCCCCGGTGCTGGCAAATCTCTGCTCCGGGGGTGCGCCAGATTTGGAGGAGCCCCGAAGCACCAAAACGCGTGAAATGGGAGAGCTCCGGAGCACGAAGTGGCAGGTCCCCGGCATTTGCCCCCGGAGGTATCTCTTCAATCGTCTGACAATGAGTAGCAAATGCAATGCTGAGCTACTCTGACATAATCAGTTCTAAACTATAGACCTCTGGAAGTACAACCACGAATTTTCAGCTTCCTGCAAGGGCTACTCAGATAATCGCGGGGGGCAGGCGGTCCGACTCGCGTTTTCTTGCAGACGGTTAGCAGAATTTTGGGGCGTGGCCAAACCTTCAGCGGGCGGTACCTCCTTTACTGTCGAATGTCCTGCTAGCGGGGCAGAATACAGAGTTTTCTGCGGGCGCTCGTCAAATAATCTCTTTCAACAAGCGCTGGCCAAACTTTCAGCAGGCGCTCGGACTCTTTTTAAGCAGTTTCGGGCATACGTCGAGCAAATGTGACACTCTATGCTGCAGAGGTGTTATCGATGGTTTAATTACTCAAGTTTGAGGTACCTTCTTTCAGCGGAAGGTACCCACGGGCTGTGCGGCCCTTCACAAAGGACCGTGCGGCCCTCAATATTTTTGCATATTCTCGCGGAAAGTCCGCGAGAATGCGGCCACTGCGCCGCACTAACCTATAGAAAAACCATGATACTTCTCCGAGCATTCCTCTAATGACTCAGACAATCGCCGGGGGCAGGCGGGCACCGGAAAAATAGATTGCTGATCTCTCGCACCCCGCTCGCGGATTTTTTGGAAAGCAATCAGGACTTTCGGAAGACCGCTTGCTGAGTCAGCGGATTTTTGAGAGACCGCCTGTTGAATTTTTTTTCGCTCTTATCTTTTGCAGATATATTGCTGAATCTCTGAGGAATCGAAAACTCAGCAAGCGGCCTTCCGAAAAGTCCTGATTGCTTTCCAAAAAATCCGCGAGCGGGGTGCGAGAGATCAGCAATCTATTTTTCCGGTGCCCGCCTGCCCCCGGCGATTGTCTGAGAAGAGGCCAACATTCTTTCAAATTTCTGCAAGCGAACCGCATGAAATCAGCGAACTATTTTTCCGGTGCACGCTTGCTCAAAATTCCCATGGCCGCCTGCCCCCGGCGATTATCTGAGCCAGGGGATCTCCAGGGGACCACACAAATTGGCAAAACACCTATCTTGTATGAAAGTAAACTGACATCCATTATGCGCAGGTACGAAAAACTGTATGGAAAACTTTATAAGCAAAATAGCGAAAGAAGAAGAAAGTTACGTAGAGCAGCGAGATATGACGCATCCCATCTCAGATCCCTTCGCCTTCCCAGCGGGGATGTACGTGCATATGGGCCTAAGAAAAGCTCACAGCTTTTTATAAAAGCGCATCGCAGATATGGAAGGTATATTGACATCAGCGTTTAAAGCTCTAACCATGGGTAACATCACCCTTCGAATGCCACTTCGACCAAGCGGACTTCCCTTGTAAGTGGAACATTGTGAGTCAGGAGAGCTAGCTCAAATTGGAACCGTTTTTTTCTCTGGAGATAGGACACTTCCACCAAATCTAAATGCATCAACTGAAACATAGGTGGCGTAAATCTACACTCCCGAGCATGCAACAGACAAGGTCCCTCGGCTCACTAGTCAAGAATATAGAGTGTATTAATCGCGAAGTAAAACACCCGAGGAAGTACACCAACGAGATGGTCAGGTCCGCGGGACGGTTGAACCAGTTGACAATCAGCTAGATACGACTAATGCACTTGCAACTCGTGAACGCAGCCAGCGACAAGCAGCAAGATCATGGTGGATATCAGAAGGTGACATGGAAAATAAGAAATTATGTGCTGCCTGCATGCAACGTCACAGCCCATAAAGTGTCTAAATTATACAGTACGATGAGAAAGCTGGTGACAAGCAGCGGCTCGGACAAGTGCCAGGAGTGAGTGGACCATAGGTAGGACTTACCCGGTTCAATCGGTTCATGTGGTTCACTCCTTCGCTATTGGTTGATCAATAGCGAACGAGTGAACCACGACGAACAGGTTGAATCGGATAAGTCTGGCGCCTGCCATACACTTTTAAAGCGACTTCCGTGTCCTAATTTCGGCACAGCCCCCCCCCCCCCCTCTCCTTCTCCTTTCGGGAGACAAGAAACGCACTTTAACACCAATTCAAAACTCCACTCTAATGATGTGCGTGTTTCAAAGAATACCAGGCAAAATGCTTTGGATTACTAGCTGTTCAAAGTTACCAACTGCTGAGTTTGACGGCTTTTGCTGGAAAGGTGACCGAAATATCACGTGTTGCTATGCATTGTCATGAGTTTTCGATCCTCAACTTTGTTTTAACACGTTTCGAACCGCGAAATCGCGCGCGGCAAAAAAGAGTGTACTTCCAGCCGTTAACCCACAAAGGGACCTTATTTCGCAAACTGTGTGCTATATCTGTAATCATCCTGTCAGATAAGCTCCATATCCGAAGTTCTGAATGAATTCGAAGTGTTTGAATTTTGTCACTTGAGAAGGGCTCACATGTTTTCTTGAAAGATAGGGACAAGATCTTAATCTTTAATAGTATCCAAAAGCATCAGTATTGCACACGGCACACATCATTGCTACAACTAGCTTTTTCTCTTTGAAATCAAAGCAAAGTTGCGACGTCGCACGCTTCGTTCGCATCGCCGCGCTTTGTTGCAATTTCTGTTTGATTTGTCATCATATCTTTGTATATTGACGACCGCTCAATGACTACCGCGTGGGGCCGCTAAGGCTTGAATGTAAAAATGACTACCATCCTGGAATAGGCTCACTCCATGAGCCTTCTTTTGCGCAGAATCTAAGGATGACCTCTACCTTTTCGATCAGTCTTTCAGATTTACTGTAGGTGTGCTGTAGTTGGTAGCATGCGTAATTATGGTTGGAAAATGTAGGCTGGTCCGTAAAAGGTGGTCCCAGAAGGCGGACAACCAAAAATCTGCATGGTCGTCAATGTGTTAAACGAATAGAGGCGGCATAGCGGCATAGTCATTTAGAAAGGAGCCTAGGCTTTTAGCTTGATAACCTTAGAGTAAAAGAAGACCTCTTGTGAATGTCAAAAAGACCCTACAAATTAGCGTGCTGCACCATGTGCAGCACCGGTCCGAAACGTGTTGAATTGGAAGATGATGAGGAACAACTCATGCAACTGACTGACATATCTCCTTCAAATTTTGTATACTTCTAGAAGACACTGCTGAATCGCTATTTGATGTCGGTCAGGCAATACAAATCGCGCGATACCCCTCCTTTTTTTTTCAACACAATTTAGAGCAAGACTGCACATTCTTCGCCAGGTTGCGCTTGCCATACAACAGCATGAAAATTCTCAGTGGTAACGGCATTAGTTTATTCACACATTTCTAAGATACAATTGAACTTCCCACATAACCACTCGACTCCGCAAAAGGCACCGACAAAATTCAAACTAAAAGGCCGTTATCTGGAACAATGTTTTACAACAACGAGATCACATGCATTACAGCGTCTTGTATGTAAAATTCACGAAAAAATCAAGAGAGTGAATGACTTAGAAATAGAATAGCACCCATCACAAACGAGAGACCTTACGTTTGTCAACGACAAGGGAACAAGCATGCGTTGCGTTTTCCTGTGGGAACAGTTTATGTAGAGCAAAAACGGTTTTTGCTATGCTTGCGGTATTCCTTCGGTTGAGAATGTCATTAGGTGAGCAGATGAATTTCTGAAAGTGCTTTGTATAAACCAAAAATGGTATAACCCTACAGCAAAATTCAATGAAACCAACTTCTGAGATACCGAGTTTTCGGCAGGATGTAATAAAGCTGTCTACGTTACGTTTTGCCTTCGGAGCGGTCAGTGTCTAGAACAGTGCTTTATAAGCAATTTAAGCGCGTGAACAAACAGATGTACCGCTGCTGAAGACGTAAAGAAGGAAGAGATTGTTTGTGCACGTAAAGCGTTAACTAAACTACACAGATGCACACCGTCAGAAAGCTCCAAAGCGATGTTTTCGAGGCTGTCCGGAAGCCTGCAAGAAATAAATTATTGATTGTTCAAAAGTATAAGATTGTCTCATATGTTTTGTGTCATAATGTTAGTTCGTTTTTTTAACTTCACTTCTTTGGTGATGGAGCTGAAGAATCAATAGAACAAGGCAGCTCTGCAAGTCAGCTGAGATCCACATAATAGTCATCCACCCAAAATTCGCAAACCATGACCTAGCAACGATCAAGTATGCCGAAACGAGATATCCGCCAAATGTTAAGCAGATGCCATTTGCTATTACATACTTGAATTGGCACATTAGACACATACATAAGCTCTGTAATTTTCTAGTAGCTAGAAAAATGAAAAAGATGGGCGAGAATGGCAAACATCCTAAAGTCATTCCAAACTGCACTTGTAAAAGCAACGGGGCGGGCGTTAGGTAGCCAGCCATTAGTGGTATACACTAGGCCACGCCCCTTGGCTGCTTCAAAGGCGGCGTCCAGGCAGAATCTCGACTTCTCTTTTTTTTTGCCTTATCCAAGCCTCTTCATAGCGCTGATTCCAAACATGGCAGTCGAAAGGCGTGAATTCCTCAAAAAACCCCATTTTTGAGACAATTCTGTGAAAAGCTTGGACGAGTGCTCCCAATGCTATCTTTGTCTAAAACAAGTATTAACAGGTAGACACTATGTGTTCGATTGTGTTTGCCACGTAAAAACACGTCAAGGCCTGAGGAGAGTTCGTTCAAGGATCGGACCGAAGGAAGCAGGATGGTACACACAGTGTCTACCTGTTGATGCTTGCTTTCGACAAGAATAGCATTCGAAGCACTCGTCCACGGTTCTCACAAAATTGTCTCAAAAATGGGGTTTTTTGAGGATTTCACGCATTTCGACTGCCATATTTGGAATCAGCGCCATGAAGAGGCTTGGAATAAGGCAAAAAAAAGAGAAGTCGAGATTCTGCCTGGACGCTGCCTTTAGGCGGTCGGGCAGGAGGCAGCAAAGGTTCGCCGCTTCTGCTTATGGAAGTACCTGAGGAACTTCAGACTTCCTCGCGCCTCTAATTACTTCTTCGCACTTCTAATTATAGATGACCTATGCCAAATTGATCGTTGATTTCTCAAAGCGTGGCAAGTTTTGAAATAGCTTTTATGTTTTAAATTCGTAGCAAGTAAGATAGATAACAAGTTCAAAAAGGACTCATAGATAGCCATCCAACGTCAAATGATTTTAAAGTATGAATTGGTCTATTCGATCTTCAGACCAGAATCTCAAACATAAACATGTAAATCTTTCTCAGTTATTCCGATCGAAGACAAGAACTTTGAAGAATTATTGCACTCGTCCTTTATTCTGCATCAGAATCAGTTCCTTCTGTTGTGAATTTTGGAGTAAAATTTCCTGAACCCAATACTCAAATAAGTTGAAAACGATTATAGCTGAGATTGAAAGAAATTGCGAGAATCTCAAATTGATTCGGGGTGAGATACTCTCCAAAAAGATTTTCGTTCAATTCTTTGACTTGTAAAGTATCAGAGGTGTGAAAAATGATTAGAAGCGCGAGGAATCTGCAGGCGGCGCCGCGTTATGGAGCAAAGCTATGCCGCATTTGCCTGTGGTATATCCTGAGGGCCATTTGCGTTGCGTCGCTCCTAATTGCAGTCGCAGAGGAGCTAGCACTACCAAGTGGATTGAGCCATTTTCTTCATCTTCCATAGATAAGAAGATCGAAATGTAAATGATAAACGCATTTTTAAAGGCGAATCAAAGTACAATATACGGAAGAAGTATGCGAAGCAAGCCGAGAGGAAGTAAAAGATAAAGAAGTTAATCTCTTTGACGGAGAATTTCTATCCTTTTTCTCTACTATTAGGTTGTCCGGAAATTAATGCCCGTTTTGAATTTCAACCTCAATAAGTCGTACACTTCTCATTTCTAAATAGTTTGTAGAGTATCATTCGATAGAGCAAATTAAGCTCTACAAGATGGCTCTCTCGCTTTTGCAACAGCTCTTATCCACCTCGAGTTTTAAGGTAAAAAGTAAAAAGACTCAGCAGCCCGAAAAATCGAAAAAAATCGCAACTCAGTTCATAAAAATCCTACAAAAATTCTAACTTGCTCACGTAAACACTATCCACATAAGACATCTATATACGCCTTTGCCGTATTATTTCCTCTGTTAGAAATCAAGAAAACGGAAATTTTCGTGCATTTGCCAAAGTGATGCTGTGCCATCCCCACATAGGTAGTTGTATACCACAAGCCTGTAGCAGTACAGACCTAAATTTTCAGCTCTCTACAAGCTTTAGTTCTCGAGAAATAACGAATATAGTCGTCCTCACCCCACTAGTCGGTCGGTGGGCGAATTCGAATTTGAACTGGAGCAGGTCGGCCGCGGAGGAAACCGAGCACAGCAGCCAGAAACGACGCTTAACAATAACGAAACGTCAATTTTGTTTAAGGACGTTGTCAAAATACACAAATTACCAATCAAAGGCAAAAAAGAACGGAAAAAATAGGCGAAGGTTTGAACTGAGGATTGAGGTGCCGCGCTCCGCCGCGACCGGCCTGCGCCAGTTCAGATTCGAATTCTCCCACCGAACCGACTAGTGGGGTGAGGACAACTATACAGCTTTCCCTAGTTAGGTGGTCCAAGCTAAAATTCAAATTTTTGGAGAACTAAAGCTTGTAGAGAGCTGAAAATCTAAATCTGTACTTCTACAGGCTTGTGGTATACAAATACCTATGTGGGGATGGCACAGCATCACTTTGGCAAATGCACAAAAATTTCCGTTTTCTCGATTTCTAACGGAAGAAAAAATACGGCAAAGGCGTATATAGATGTCTTATGTGTATAGTGTTTACGTGAGCAAGTTAGAAATTCTGTAGGATTTTTATGAACCGAGTTGCGATTTTTTTCAATTTTTCCTGCTGCTGAGTCTTTTTAGTTTTTGGCTCGAAACTCGAGGTGGATGAGAGCTGTTGCAAAAGCAGGACGGCCATCTTGTAGAGCTTGCTTTGCTCTATCGAATGGTACTTTGCAACCTATTTAGAAGTGAGAAGTGTATGACTTATTGCAATTGAAATTCAAAACGGGCATTAATTTCCGGACAACCTAATAATTCTTGTGTTCCACTTCTCTTGAACACTTTCAACTCAAATCCAGCATTGGATCGTCCCTTCAGCTCTGATTCATCCCTAGAATTCATCTATTTTTTGAATTTTCTAAATTGCAGTCTTCCTTGTTTTCTTTATCACATCCATGAAGTTTGACCATATCAGGTCGCAGTGATAGGGAATGGCTCAATCCGCTGGCAGGAGCAGCGCTACTCCTGCGCAATTAGAAGCGAAGCAACGCAAATAGCCCTCAGGTCATACCGCAAGGAAATGCGGCATACCTTTGCTCCATAACGCCTGCCCCCCAATCTGGAGCTCCCCAAGCGCTTCCAAAGGCAAATGCGGTAAGCCTCTGCTGCCTCCTGCATGACGTCCCTGCCTTTAACAGCGGGTACCTAACAATACACCAAATTCTGGCTGCTAGAAACATGATAGTTCGAGAAAAAAATGCGCGAATGAGAGCGCAAATTTACAACGCTTTTTATTGCTTTTTTTAAAATCAATTTTAGAACCACAGAAATTCGGTGATGAAAGCTAAAAACAGGGTACGGCTTTTATGAGCAGTTCACATAGTTTTGCAAAAATTGTGATAATTTGGACCGGTAATGTCAGAGGGAATTTTATGGAAGTAAACCTTGTAGAATACCAATAAATCAAAATTTTATGATTTCAATGAAGAAAAGCGCACTTTCGAAGACGCTTTTGGCAAATAAGTTGCACGAAATATTCCGTGTTTCAAAAAAAAACTGCTTCAAATATATTTTTGACAATGAGAAGAGGAACCGATTGAAAGAAGAGCTTCGACGAGAACTTGTCATCAGGAATCGAAACTTCAAGGCGGACTATGTGGCCCACTGATATGGAAAGGGCACTAGCTCTGTTCCAGTGAACGAAAATTGTAAATTACAGAGCTATGCCAATTTCGGATGAGTGTCGCCAAGAGAATGCAACAGGAAAAAGCAGCAACTCTACTGAGAACAATTATTGGGAAAATCTTTCGCTTTTTAGGGAGTTACAAAAAAAATCATAGTTTTGGTTGGATAAACTGAGCATATTTTGGCTGCTAGAAAAAATGGATATGAAACAATTGCAAAATAAAGGCCTCCAAAAAAGCATTACAGAGAACGTAGGCATGATGAAATACAGTAGCTCAATGAAATTTTCACACGAGAAATCTTCAAAAATAAAAAGAAATGTGTGCTTATCAATGCCCCATAAATCTGTTGGTTTTAACTATGACCGAAATAATAACCTTACTAATCTACGTTGACATAGCTCACAATTCCCGTGGCAATATTAAGGCAAGTGTTACGGCCCTTAACTTCACACCTCAGAACGAGCCTGATAACAATATGTGAAAGGAATATTCCGTTTAATATTTGCCAGGGCGCATCCAAAAGTGCGCTTTTCTTCATTGAAATCATAAAAATTGATTTAGGTATTCTACAAGGTTTAATTCCATAAAATTCCCTCTGACATTACCGGTCCAAATTATCACAATTTTTGCAAAACTATGTGAACTACTCATAAAAGCCGTACCCTGTTTTTAGCTTTCATAACCGAATTTCTGTGGTTCTAAAGTTGATTTTCAAAAAGCTATAGAAAAAGAGTTGTAAACTTGCGCTTTCATTCGCACATTTTTTTGATTTTCTCGAACTATCTTTTTCATGTGGGTCGCAAGCCCCAGCGCTTCAGCGAGCTAGGTGGACTGTTCTAGCAGCTAGGATTTGGTGTATCGTTAGGTACCCGCTGTTAAAGCAGCCAAGGAGCGTGGCTTAGTGCACACCACTAATGGCTGGGTACCTCACGCTCGCACCTCGGCTGGGCACCCTAACGCCACGCACCCAGAAGTTACTGTCAATTTTTCAAAAAAAAAATTTAGAGAATATTTTGGTTATTTACAAAAAAAGCAAGCTATTTGCATCAATTTATGACTCGCGTAGGTATTCTGAATGTCTGGAGGCCAACTTCAAAGTCTGGAGGCCAACTTCAAAGTTTGCTTTGCTCTGTCAAATGCTGTTTCGATTCCTGTGAAAGTGAACATAGCAGGATTTTCTGTCACGTGGAGCAAAATAGGATTCTCCGATATTTCCTTAATTCGATTTATTCAATTAAGTGTGAGCCTGAGCTTTCTACGAAAATGAGAGTTATATTAAAAGTCATCTTGGCGATGAGACATTTCGTTGTGTAACAAGAAAGTTCGCCGAGTTGGAAAAGCACTTATATGCAAATTGCTTCAAATCCCCGCTTTTGTTAGTATGTGTATTAAGGATGCCTTCACTCGTAATCTGTTCTTACGATAGGCTGTAAAGGAAGAAGAACAGAAAATATGCTTACGTTACTTGTAATCTTTCCAGAAAAATCTTTTTCAAAAGATCAGCGGGAGCCAGCTGAACTTCATGCGATTTCGAAGAAAACCCATTTCGGTTAGAATGCACAACCTCGAATATAAAATTTTGGTCGGAATACCGAGGATGTACGTCATCTTACCGTAACCCTAGTAGTTTTACCCGCTAACGGCTTGGTGACAGAACTTTGACGCGATTGCTCGCTTGATGACGAAGATTTCTGTACAGATGCCGACGACGACGCTCGACCTATGTGAGAAGGCAAACGAGAACCTATAAAGAATACGGATAGATCTCTTTCAATGATGATTGGTTTGTGTACTGCCTAAAAGGCTTACATGTGAAACTACTTATAGCCTGTGAACCAAATTTATCCCTATCGTTCATTATATGGCTAGAAGACGAATATGCTTCGCACACATTGCCAAAACAAGCTTGATCGTGTGTTGAAGTTTATACTTGCGACCTATCTCATTTGAGACTGATTACTGTATACAGAGGAGAAAAAGTGGAAGCTTGATTGGACAATGTCCGCAGAATTTTTGAGCTTCTCAAAGAATAGATGATACTCGTACACCAGGGGGTACAGTGCACTCAGGGACTCGCGCAGTGCGGGCGGCCTGCGACGATTTTACAAACGCTCGTTGGTGTGTGCGATTGTACGGTCGTCAAGGGCCGGTGGTAAGGTTAAGATGAGGGTTGGGCCAGACTGCGCGGCGTACGCGACGTACGCAGCGTACGCCGCGTATGCTCCTATGATGAAATATACCGAGCGTACGCTGCGTACGCCGCGTACGCCGCTTCCCCGCGAAGTATGGCTCAACCCTGAGGCGCCCACACGGCTTCTAATACTCGCCGCTTGCGCGGAGAAGGTCGGCCGTTCGCTTGCCGCTGGAGTAATTTTTATGGGATCCCTTGACCATTTTTCTTGGATATGTTGATCCTGTTCACGTTCTGCGAACATGGATCGATTGCTTGCAATGGCAAAACCTCTCCTAGGGAAGCCGCCCATGCCATCACTCCTGATAACTGTAACTTCACACAGGTTCATTTCAGTCTTGCTGTTGAACGAGTATTAATAGTACGACACGTCAACGCTTAAAGGCAGCGGCTCGGCAGATTGACCTACCTCAGATTTTGACACAGATGGATAGGAGGCCCTCCAAGTGAACCAAAACAGCAACCCCGCGCCGAAAATGTGAACTCTGCAAGCCAGGGGGCGGCCCAAGCGCCGCTCCCCTTCCTCCTTTCGCTCCCCCCTAACACCTTGTTCGGACGAGTATTCTCCGCTAGACGGCGCGGGACCCCCCAACCGCTTTCCCGCATTGTGCATGCTATACAAAGCCAAAATTACAGGCAGCGGGGTCTTCGTGCCAGGGCCTCCCGACTTTCCTGAAAATTCTCGTCCGAGCTGCCTTTTGGAAAATGGAAAAAAACGCCCAGAAAAAGGCCTTTTCACCGCTTTTAAAGCTCAGATTCGGGATCTACGGGTCGAGAAGGCCCAAAACATGCAAAAAGATGGAAATGCAAAATTTGCCGAGCCGCTGCCTTTAAGGCAGCCTACACGCTGCTTCGTATCTCACGCAGGTACCGTTTACGCTCCCAACGTGTGGGAATTGCGAGAAGAAATTGGAGGTCACTGTTGGCCGCTTGCGCGGCAACTGGCATTGCCGGCCGATAAGACGGACACATTGTTGGCCGCTCGCTCGAGCAAATGTATTGCCGGCCGTTTGCACGGTAACATTGCCTGCCGCTTGGACGGCGCTTCGGCTGTTTGCCGCACGCACGGAAGCTTTAGGCTTATGTCGACCGCTTGTACGCTAGCCCTTATAGAAGGACGCTTGCACGGCGCGAATCCCTGAAAAGCCAGTCTGGCTACTCTGTATGTCACACAACCTACAACGGGAGTAGACCTGCTAGCAAAGCTTAGGATTGGTTCATACTGCTGTCATACTGCAGCAACGACAGTCGAACAATCGATATCTTTTGCCCGCCCCAATATGACTGCAGCCGCTGCAGCGACTGCAGTATGAGACAACCATCGAAACCAGTTATTCTGGCAGCAATCATGCCTTAGGCGATGTCCAGAGATTGATCGAAGTACCACGAATTTATATTGTACACATGAAATGGAGCGGCATAAAACGCTGGATACAGAACTGTTTTCTCTACCCGCGAAGCGCCTTTAAACGAAGAATTATTAACTGAAAGCAAAACTTCGGAGATTGGTTTGCATCAACAATCGCCTATAATTTTCTGCAAAAAAGCTTGCACTAATACAGGAGACTTTCTCATCCCGCATTTGACCATATGCCACTCTAAACTGCCGCCTTGACTATCAAATCTCATGCTTAAGGTTGACCAAAAGGATTATAAGTTTCAACTTCCGTCTGTATTTCGACTTCGTACTTGAGCACGGACCCAGTACACAAGCATTGGTAGAGAGAAGGATCAAAATAAGGAAACTACGATAACAGACATATCATATGTTTCGAAAGTATGTGCACACTTTTTGGTCGTTAGGATCTTTCCTCACACATAGCATTTTGTCGACCTTTAGGCACCATTCAGTGGAGGCGGTTACAACTTAAATTTGATGTATAAAGAGAAACAGGTCGTCCTCAATTAATGTAGGATTACAGTACAAACAAAGGAGAAGGTTTTGAACTATCAAGAACCACGGTTTGCCATGAAAAGGATACTAAACGAGCTGAAAATCCTCACACTAGACTAACCAGAGTTCCTGACCCCGAACTGAAATTGCATTTTACCGTAATGCATCGTTGAAAAGTTATGCTTTTGTTTACCGTCAGTTGGTTTCTCAATATTCTTCAAAAAAGTTATTTTACGTATCAAAAAGCCCTAAGAACTCGTGAAAAGTTGTGTAGTGAAACCAGGTTGAGTGACTTTGCTATAAACTTCCCAACTTTTTAAAAGCCTTTCTGAACGCCTTATTTCGCCATGACGCTGTATGCTGGATGTTCCTATAATCCTACAATACGATAGTTGGTGGTTCGCTTCATATTGGAAATCTTAGTCAAAGCTATCTCTACAGAACGGTACCTAGAGGTCGACAAGGGACATTGTAGGAAGAGAGATATCAGCGATTGAGAAGTTTGGACACCCTGTTTTGAAAGCGCTGACAAGGCCTCGCCCGACGAGCACTGCACGTGCGCCACGGGAACAGCGGTGATGTGGAGTTCCGAACGAATCTGCGGTAGTGCAGGAAGCAACAAAGGCTTGCCGTTTGCTTATGGAAGTATCTTAGGAGCTTCACAATTTCTCGCGTAAGTGATTTTCTAAAACTTCTCAATAGTAGTAATAGCAAACCCCAAATTTTGCAAACAAGCTGGCAAACCCGACCCCGCCGAACCTGTCAATAATATTTTCGTAATCAACATTTAGCAGTGGCTCGGCAGAATTTCGTTTCCCAGTTCTTCACCTTTTCGGAGCCTTCTCGCCATGAGGAACCCATATCTGCGCTTTTCAGCACATGAAGATGGTAAAAATGGCTTTTCCGGAGCTTTCCAGGTCAGTCTTTAGTGCATAAGTGGGCGAGGCTTGGGAAAAAGGCGGGGCGCGGCTTTTTCTGGCGTATCTTCAGTGAACGCGGACCTAAATGCTTCGGAAAAAACGCATTTTTGCTCATTGGCTGAAAAGCCCAGATATGGGTTCCTAATGGCAAGAAGGCTCCGAAAAGGTGAAAAACGGAAAACGAAATTCTGCCGGGCCGCTGCCTTTAACCCCCTGTGCCATTCCCAGCCTCGTAGGTGAAACTTTGCAAAAAAAAAACAACGATAAAATCGATATCTGCCAGAAGTCTTGTTTGCATATCACAAATTTTCCATGACCGTTTGGAATCTCTCATTTCCCAGATGACAGAGGAATGGATTAGAATTCCAAATCTACTGCTAAACGAATGTCTAGAAGAGTTATAAATGCTTGAAGGTTAGATTAAGCAAACATTCGATGTCATACAATGAACAATTAGCGGTTTAAAGATAAAGGCCGCGTCAATGACGAACTCACTTTTCCGTAGTACCTGCGCATCCGCCGCACATGCGCGCGGCAAGAAACAGTGAAAAAGAATTTTGCTGAAGAAAAAGAAGTTAAGACCCCAAAGACATCATCAAGCGGAAGTTGGCAAAACGCCAGGTAATACGCGCGCTAACGTGGCGCAGGGGAATCGCGGTGCAGCTTTGCAAATCCACGCCTGCAGAAAAAGGAGCATGCCGTTGACACATCCTGTACTTATTCATGTTTCTGGTGAATGTGTTTCTCCCTTTAGTCGGTACGCTCAACACCGCGCCCATTACGTTCATTACGCCCAAAGCGCACTTAAGCGCACTAGTCATTACTGATGACTTTGCACTTTCAATCGCTCACAACTTCTCTCATAGACTCATTCAGCAGATATGGAAGGGGAAGGGAGGAGGAGGGGATTAAACCAGCTCATCAGACGCATCCAAATAGAAACATTTCATTTCACGCCGCTGCGACTTGGATCCTTTGCTGCTAAAGTAGGTGCGAAAAAGTAACCAAAGGCGCGAGGAGAACTAGAGCACCTTAGATAACCTATTAGCAGAAACGGGAAGCCTTTCTTACATCCTGCCTGTCTTCCGAACGAATCCATATCCTACAATGACACTGCAAGGAAAATAGAAACCAAGCGAGGTTCATTAAAGTATGTCTGCATCGTAAAAAACGCATGAACACAGGATATTCCCAAAAGCTCTGAAATCTTACGAGCGTTAGGATTTCACCTTGCGCAACCACTACAAGCCAGCGGACGCGTGTTAAAGGCAGTGTTCCGGCAGAAACTCGATTTTGAGATTTTGTGCTTGCCTATTCGCTACGCTGAATCTAATGCACACTGGAGAGCGCGAAAACGGCGAAATCGGCCCTAACACAGGAGGGAAATCAGCAGGCGGGCGGGGTCCTCCCCACTGTAATTCATGCTCCCAGCTTCCGGAGCGATCTTCTCGCTTCCGGTTTCAAGTCAGTCATTCGCACTTGGCCGATAGCGCTGTTAGGACGGTTAGTGGAATCGGGAAGACCGCTCCGGAAGCGCGAGCGTGAATTCGGTGGGGAGGACCTCGCACACTTGCTGTTTCTCTCCTGCGTTAGAGCCGTTTTTGCTCTTCCCAATGTGGATTTTTGGATTCAGCATGGCGAATACGCCCGTATAAGCACAAAATCTCAAAATCGAGTTTGCCCGGACAGTGCCTTTAAGCAGATGCAAACACTATTAAAGCAAACGGTGCTGACCAGCACACTAATGTTGAACTCTAAAGACCTAACATCACATATCTATCAATTTAGTGGACGTAAAATGCTCAGCTTGACCTTTCTATAATAATAAGTTTACGTGGTCTGCAAAAGATAAAGAGGCAAACATACGTTGATTCGTGCACCGAGATGGAGAATTCGATGTCTTCGAAACTGGGGAACACTGATTTATAGCCGAACTTAGAATACGAGAGTTCGGAGATCGACATTTCTTCTCGAGTGAATCGGAAACCGATGATGTCCATATCTTAGTCTTTGATACCTGAAACAATGGTCTCAGATTCGATGTTATAGGTCGTCTAACGACAGGGACCAAGCGGAGCTACGATTATCAGCTAATACTTGTAATAAAATTATACACACTGAGCGTGAGATCATACTGAAGTACTTAAAAGTGTCACCTTTGTCTCCTGAGCTTCGGAGTTCAGTGAGGGCGGGTGACTTTTACGGCTGAGCAACGGAGCAGTTTTTGCCATGGACTTTACAGCTGGAGTAGGTGAAGGTCTTTCTGAAACAAAACGAAAGATTATCCGAAAACAATGAAAAGTTTCAATTAGTGTAGTGGTTGATATGAACATTGCGTTGAAACACACTTTCAAAATCTGGATGAGAAAAAGTGTTGTCGAAATTATCCTAATTCCATATTTTCTACCTTCTCAAGTTCCAAAGCGAATTCGGATCCATTGCCCAAAAAGGCCCAGAAACTACTGCAGATAAGCCAAAGGCACACCTGGCAAGACGCTGACTTTAGCGTAACCAAAGTCAAGCGTGGGATATGGCACGCCACACCTGGAAGGTCCGTACTGAGGGGTCAGAGAGGGAAGGAGGTCGTAATCGAGTTAATACTGATGTTTGCGATTTGACACAAAGAAAGCTAACAGAGTCAGATAAGGCAATATGCAAAAGAGAGGCACGCTGAGGTGACCTGTCGTCGTATACGTACAGTAAGCTGAATAAAGAAGCCCTACCAAGCCTCAGTATCATTTTCGTAATCAAATAATCCGTTTGGATCAAGTCTTAGCTTTTAGCAATTCTAAGGTTCAAAAATATTAGGCCACTCAAATGAAGTGTTCACTTTTGAACACGATTAAGATTGTTTCGAAGGTGAGTTAGCTGAGTGCTTTTGCACTAGATACAAAGCACTGCTCTTTTGCTGTGCAGATAAGGAATCCCACTTCAAATAACCACCAAAATACGGAATTAAAGGCACCGTCCCCCCAGATTTTCGACTTCCACGTTTTCGTCGTTTCAGGGCCTTCTCATGTTCCTGATTCCGAATATGAAGTCGAGAATGCTCGAAATCCCCGACAATCCCGTTTCGGAGAACCCACAGGCCGGCTTTCCGAAACGGTGATTGGAAGGGCGCGCACAGATGGGCGGGCATGGATGGGGGTCCTTGTGCATCTTCGCTATTCCAGAGCGATTTTCTCGCTTCCGAAGCTGCGTTTTGCGCCGCGACTTGGGCAGTGGATTGATAGAGGGCCCTACTATTATATGCTGCCAAAAGCTCAACACCCTCAACTTAGGGTGGACGGTACCTTTAAGAGAGCCAAAATGTTGCTCCATTGACTTACCCTCAAAGAAACTTTTGGCGAATAATAGATATGGTTCGATAGTCTAAATCCCGTAGTTTTCACAAGAGTGATTGTGCCTGATTCGTATTCTTTACTCTGCGTGAGAGCTGCTACCACAATCATTCAAAGAAATGGGACAAACGAAATTCCGGCCGATTTCTGATTCACAGTCGTTTATTTGGAGTGGGACTCCTCAAGTGAGCGAAAGAAGAGTAGTGCTTTATAACGAGGGCAAGAGGAGTTAGCTAACTTACATATGAAACAAACTTAGTCACGTCTGAAAATGACCGATTTCACTTGCATGGTCTAATATTTGAAAACCTCAGAGTTCGCTGAAACCTGGTCTACAGCGGTTATTTCTTATGCTAATTACGAATATGTATTATGCTTAACACGTTTCGGACCGCGAAATCGCGCTCGGCGAAAAAGAGGGTACTTCCAGCCGTTAGCCATCAAAGGGACCTTATTTTCCAGACTGTGCGCTACATCTGTAATCAGCGTGTCAGATAAGATCGATACCCAAAGTTCTAAATGAGCTCGAAGTGTTTGAATTTTGTCGCTTGAGAAGGACTTCTGTGCTTTCTTGAAAGATAGAAACAATAACTCAGCTTCTAATTGTATCCAAAAGTATCTGTGTTGTGCACGGTACACATCAGTATTGAAACTACAGTTTATCTCTTTGAAATAGAAGCAAAGAAAAGTTGCGACGTCGCACGCGTCGTTCGCGTTGCCGCACTTCGTTGCAACTGTTGTTCGATTTGTTCTCATATCTCTTAAACAAATGTTGGCGGCAAGCTCTACAGTTATTTGAGAAGTAGGAGCCTAGGCCTTTGACTTGATATCCCTGGACAAAAAACCTCCTGTAAACGTTAAAACGATCCTTCAAAGCCGCGTGCTGGGCTGCACGTCAGGAGGTACGCCGCGCACGGCGTTCGCTCTTTTGCTCACGCCGCGTTCAAATCTTGAGGCCTCCAAAATCTCCCCCATCAGAGATTCCCCGCGGCAAAAACAGGGGGTGAGGATGGGGGCAGGTACATGACTTAATGCTATAAGTAAGATTGCACCATGAGCGCCGCTGTCGTAAGAACTGAAGTACGTTGTGGCGTCGCGTCGCGAAAAATTCGCGCCGATCGTACCTCCTGACCGTCCCCCGCGTGCTGCACTATGTGCAGCACCGGGCCGAAACGTGTTAGAGGGTCTCATAGGGTGTAGGCCCTTCTGAACCCGCTCTAATCGCGATCTGTGATAGGGCAGCGCGTCAAAGAGGTCGCACGCTGATTGGCTGCCTTGGTGAGGCGTGCGCTTGACCTGACAAGGCGCGCTGCGGAAGTGGACGAGTTGTACTTGCTCCTTCTCGCTTGGATTATCAATGAATGCTTTTGTTTTTGATTCTTTATCTTTTTATCATGTTCCACTTCGCATTGATCTTTTTTCTCTCTCGAGGTACATCACTGCATCTTCTTACATCTTTCCAGGGAATTCAAAGAGGGCCTAAGGAACATAGGTTTTTTGACGGGAGGATTGTCGGTGAGTGTATATATACTTTCACTTTCATTTTTGTCATTATCATATACTAACACCTTCTATTGTACGTATTTAGGGTTGCATGGTTTCAGGCCTGCTTTTATCCTATTGAGTACCTTAGGTAAGTGATACATCATCGTGTTTTTAAACTTGTCCTTGTTTTCTTTCGTCTTTTTAGGTTGTTTTCCTAGGACTGAGCCCACGTACCATTCTACTCAAAACAGTTTTCTGTACAAAATGTTTTAGTATGACTTTAACTTTTAGTGTTCTAGCCCATTACATAGTTTCAAGTTGTTTGTTTTTCGTGCTTTTCTCAAACAAGTTGTTTTCCTCACTTCGTTCGCACACTAGCAGATTGTTTTTTCTTTCCTTTGTTTCTTGTCATTAGCGCTTTGGCCACTTTTTCTTTGCTGGTTTCAATAAACCTTCTACTGCATTCGTACAACAAGTTCTTACAAGGCTCAAAAAGATAATTAGAGTGTAGGATATGATTGTGTTTTTGTTTTCTCCTCATCTTTTTTGCGCTAGCACACTTCCGTATTTGAAAGCATCTGCATTTGGATTTCCATCCAATTTTTGTTCATGCAAAACTTCGTGCAAACGAATGTCTGTGTAAGAAAGAGTGCTCATAACTACTGAGCATTAGCCGAGCATTTTATTAATTTCAAAACATAAGTAACGCTTTATCTTCAGTCACCATTGAAGTCGGTTTCTAGCGTTTATAGTTTATGTTTTATTTCTAGTGTCATTTGAGTAAAACAAAGACAGACTAGTAGAACTTCTTTTTGACCAGGTTCTTGAGTACTTTTTTGTGATCTCCGGATAGAGGTAAGATATAGGAGGTGTTCCCGCTTGCACTTTTTCATCCTGTGCCAACAAGGAATGTGTTTTTGGTAGTGGCATTTTCGGATGAGCTCTACATCAATTTAGGGAGAATCAAACGGATTCCGAACCTGTCTTCAGTGTCTGCTGTGCGCCACTGGACGGCGAGTAATGAGTGTTATCTGGTGCGGAGAGTGAGTCCTTAGGTTGAATATCTTGCTACGGTCCTTGCAGCTCTCAACTAGAGCAGCAATGATTGTGAGCTTACTATACAGTGCATAGAGTGCTTCCCGGCCCATTCGAGCAGTTTGAATATCTTCAGTTGCGTGTTCAGTTTTTCGACTCACAAAACGTTCATTACTCGTCAGAGACGCACAGCGGATAGCGAGGAAAGATGTGAAGTTAGCTTTCAAAGATTTCCGAATAATAAGCCAAGACTTTTTTGTATCAGATAAGAGAATAAAGCGTGAGAAATGACCAGCATAATGTGTTGCCTCCAAAAGACCTCCAATAAACACAAAATACGGCGAAAAACCGAGTTGCTGCAAATTGCTATCTCATGCACGGTCTCAATGATGTAGTAAAAGTGCTTCGGTTTCTTCGCCCGAAGCTCCAACGATTCCACGACCTCGACATTAAACGGTGAGGATTTTCGAAAATGGCGAGACGCAGCGGAACACTCGTCCGTGTCGAACGCATCGTAGGCGCTCGCGACCTAGTTTTTGATTACTGTAGTGAACGGAGGGTTCAGAAGGGCCGTCTCCCGGTCTCATATTATGCCTGGTGGACTAATGCTTGGATTCTATCAAGACACTCAGGGAGGGGGGGGGGGGTGAGGGTCGTATCCGGGGGTACCCAAAGCGTGAAACCACAACCCGCATTATGTGTACGAAGTTCAGAAATTTTGGCAAGAAATTCGTGAATCGATAAGCAGTAAGTAAGTTCAGTCAGGAATGTTTCACTTTGTGTTTTACAACTGAACTTGACTTTAGACAAATTTGGACGCCCTCAGGAACAGCTATGAATCGAAAATGCAACCTATGTCTTATAGTCTTTGATACTTCTAGCTAGTTCATTTGAAAGATTAGGCGTACAGTCTCACACAGAGGTTCAACACAAAAAAGGGTATTCCCCCTTATAAAGTGCGGTTCATTATACAAAAACCCCCGATTTTGAGAGTTTCGAGACTTTTTGGAAGAAACTCGAAGAACCGTTGGTACCAAGTGAAACAGCATAAAAGCAAACGGCATACGATCCATAAGAATGGGAATCGGTTCCAATCTCAGGGGTGTTTTGCGTCGAACTCGAATTTTCAGCGGTTCATGATTATACGAACACCTCAAACGAAGGTCCATACTTCGCTCAAAACTACAATCTTTCGGGTCAGAATTTTTTTATGAAGTCACGGTAACAAAGTCTGAGATATCTGCGACACACTGAACCCAGTGCATTTCCAAAAAGGGAGCGTTACTCTTCTCAAATAGCTCAAAATGCTTCTAGAGTCAGTGCGCTCCAAAAACGTCTGCTTTTCTGTAGTTCAAGCATTCTAACTGACCTCCCAAGACTATGAGACTTTTTCGATAGATACTTTGCTTGACGCTAGGAAAATCCCCTGAGTACCCTCGCGTTTTTCAAACAAATTCCTACCCTGGGTTAGCATGATTTAAAGCCTCAAAACTCAACTTGTGTCGTCCTATGAAAAATCCATACGGTAAATTCAAGTTAAAGCCAGTTCCATAAAATGGTACCTCAAACATCTCCAGAGACTTCATGACAAGAGAGTTTGACAACCAACAGTAGGCACGTTTTTGGGACTCCCTGTTCAAGCCTTGTGAAACCCAAATACCCGCACCCTGCCTTGGACGTCAGCATAGGCGAGCGGTCGCCGTGATTCACTATAGGCGGTCCCATTCGCTCATGAATTCTCCAGTCAGGATCCATGTTGATTTCGTACTGCGCAGTATGTTCTAGCCCAAAGTGTCCTCAAGACTTTATAATAATATGTCTAAAGAAGGTGCGCGCTCATTATCACGAGTGACTAGCCTATATCGCGTGCGGATCCGACGCCTCCAGCCGCTCTGCGCTTTGGTGTTCAAAGCGATGCGCGGGCAATTAGATTTTACGAAGCCTACAAAGAAATGCATTTTCTCATCACAAATCCTTGCGTGAGACAAAAGCTGAGTTTTAGGGCTCAAAGCTAACTCTGGGCTAAGGTTGGAACTTGGTTGAAAGACCGACAAGCAATCAAAAAAGCTTGATTCATCACATAGCTTTGATAGAAGCTATAGAGTGCCTAAACCACGGTAAAACAGACGTTTTTACAACGTACTGATTCAAATAGCATTTTAAGGCATCTGAGAAGATTAACTCTCTTCTTCTTGAACCGCACGGGTCCAGCTTGTAGCAGATATCTCAGACTTGTAGCAGATATCTCAGAATTATTACTGCAATTTCACAAAATTTCTAACTCAGATTGTAGTTTTGAGCGTAAAAAGAGCTTTGTTTGAAATGTTCGAATTATCATGAACTGCTGAAAATTCGCATTCGGCACAAAAACACTCCTCACATTGACACCGATTTCCGTTCTTTTGGATCGCATCGTTTTCGGCTATCCTCTTTCACGTGGTACCAACAGTTTTCGGGATTTTGAAGGTCCCAAAACTCCCAAACCAAAGGGTTCGTGTATTTATGCACCGCATTTCACATGACACCCTGTCCCTCAAGTCATATTGAATGATTTCAAACACACTTGTTATGAGCCCGTCAATAGGAGTGTCGGTAGTGCAGCAGACATTGTTGGCGACTGATAAATTGTTGTTGCTTAAATCAGTCGAATTCAATCTTTCGGAAGCCGGGCGCAAACCTGCAATTAATCGTCATTTGTAATCTCCATTCGACAAGGGAGGATCTACCTGTTTTACGTGCTTCCTCCATGTTACCGTTTTGAAGAGTTACCAATTTATTCTCTGCTACTACTGGTACCGCTTCACTATGAGGTTTAGCCTTCGAAAGGGCATTTTCATCGCCAAATACCAACACTGCCTGTTAGTTGCCATACTGATGAGACGAAACATTACTTCATAAAGAAATTCAAACCTCTGAAACGTGATTGGTTTCAGGAGCGCTGTTTCGCTCACAATTATCGTTAGCTCTAGCAGATGGAGGTTTATGCTGTCGCAGCTCCACATACGGGGGTAGGCTCGCCTCGTGGAGATTCCTAACAACAAGGCTATTTTCAAGTTTCGATCACATTACCCCAATCAGAAATGTGTGGTCGGCTCTCAAAGCTATAGCGGGCAGGCGCGATGTCTCTTTGTTCCCCTTGTTTGTGACCACTATTTTCTACCTTGCGACAACTTCGACTAACATCTATGGAGCATACAACACAAAAGAAGAGAACTTTGGGTTAAATACCACTAATTAAAGATGACGCTACATGCAAGTGTGATAAATCATTCAACCCAGTGCACTAGAACTGTCGCATCCGCTTAACACATTCACGACAATACCGGTGGGTCGTACGGGTCTTGCCATTTCGGAGAGTACGACCCACCGGTGGGTTGTACGCTTTCTAAAGTTATTGATTTTGCTAGTTTACGGTGAAACTTTCTTGGCAAACTGAATAAACTTATGTATACATCTCTTATGAAATTTTCCGATAGGTTAACACTTCAAACCGTAGGACCCATCAATCACCAGAAAATATCATGCAAACTCAATAATGAAAAATATGCTCTGGTACGAAATGACAGTCATCGAAAAATCGGCCATGTCGTGAATGTGTAATAGTTGGCCAAAGAGCTAACCATTTCAGAAAAACCGTTAAAATTTATCGGGAGATTTCTCCCAAGTACTGTGCATACTAATTTTCGCAAAACTTATATATGTACGCAAGAGATGAAGTTGACTAAACACCTGTTATTTATATGGCTGCGATCGAGCGTGACGCTAGCGTAACTCGTACTGAAATCTTCTGATTGGCTTTGACGTTTCAGCCCAGCACTTGTCTCAACATCCATCCATTTTACGATATGTTCACGACCCTACAACATGAGCAAAATTTAGTTAGCATCGCTAGCATCATATTTATCCACATCATCCATCAGCACGCGGATGCAATCTAGCGCCTTTGATTACTGGTTCACTAGTTTTGCCAAAAAATCGGTCATGCACTTTGTTTCAAAGTGGATCAGCTGGGTAAGTATGGCGTGTGCCTCAAGTGCAACAGATGGAAGTTTCAAGATTTTCTGAGTAGATTCATTCGTATCCGTCTCACCTTCAATATAAGAGATGCTGGAGGGAACTGTAGAGGGTTGTTCCCAACAGAAAGCTCAACGAGAGAGTTCATTTTTCCAATGCGTGAAGGCAACTGCTTCAGGCGATTACAGGACAGATCAAGCGTATGCAAAGAAAGACGACACAGCTCTGAAACAGCTTTGAGCTAGCGTAAAATTGAAATATATAGTAGGCTTGTCAAACAAAGTCGTGCGTACCTGAAGGAAAGCATTCGAGCAAGTTTTGACGCAAATTCAAAACACGTAACATTTTCAGCAACGCAATATCGGGAGGAATAGATTTCAAAAAGTTGCAACTCACATCCTACAAAAGCTCATTTGAACAAAAGTTACCATGAAGTCACTCAATAACTGCTGAAAAGCTGACCAGTTCCGCAAGGGTTGAAGAAAGCTGCCGAATTTCACGAGGGATAGAGTCCAGACGATTGCCAGTCAGCAGCACAATCTCTAAGGGTAATTCGAATAAGCTCAGCGGTAGTTGGACAATTTTGTTGTTGCTGAAATATACTGTTGCAACCACTAGTATTAGTTTCTGATAAAGCTGGAAAAGACCAGCACAAGACGTCGCAAAAACCACAGATTGGAATTGCTACGATGTATATTCGTACCCCAACGATACGTACCTCAAATCCAGCACAGTGAGCGAACGCAGGAAAAGGATATTACGCGGAACGCTTCGCAGCGCGTTATCACGAAGACTCAATGATTCCAAGGAGCGCGATTCGCAAACACATGTTGGAATGTCGCTTAGCCGATTGCCACTGAGATCTGAATGGAGAAAAGCTAATAGCACACTATGCAATTTTCAGTCGAACTTCCATATGTTATTGTAATATCAACATAATTTACAACCTTATCTCAGACTCACCCAATGATATGAGGTCAGAGAGATCGTATTTGTTGGACAATTCATGAGGATATTCTTTCATTTTTCGGCCAGACAGATTGAGAGCACCGCATAGTTCTGCTTCTTCAAATATCTTCTCCATGGATCCTATCAAAAGTACAATAGAGATACTGATGACCACAAATAATCACAGATAGCTTACATACGATTGCAGATTACCTTCATATGGCGAGTAGACTGATGACCAGATAGTGCTTTGTAGCCACGCACGCGATATAGTTCCGGGTGCAGAACTACGAGTAAGATGGCCTTTCGCAGAGTGCTTACGGTCACACGGCCTATGAGTAGTAAGTTCAGGAAAGGAAAGACAAGGTTGGTTACACTACTTTTAGTCCAGATCTAGATTATAAAACCAAAGCCTAGATTCCTACTTTCACAGGCGTTCGCAACCCAAACCAGGATCGCGGCACGAATTCCAATTGACATCAACTGAATATGCATCTATATCTTACTGACAGATTACAGGAAGCGGCCCGGCAGAATTTCGTTTTCCAGTTCTTCACCTTTTCGGATCCTCCTCGCCATGAGGAATCCATATCTGGGCCAGCGCATGAAAATGGCAAAAATGGGCTTTTTCCGAAGCTTTTTAGGTCCGCATTCAGTGGGGATACGCCGAAGAAAAGCCGCGGCCCGCCTTTTTCGTTCCAAGCCCCGCCCACTTCTGCACTAAAGGCTGAACTGGAAAGCTTTAAAAAGGCGCATTTTTGCCATTTTCATGCGCTGAAAAGCCCAGATATGGGTTTCTCATGGCGAGAAGGCTCCGAAAACGTGAAGAACTAGAAACCGAAATTCTGCTTTTAAGTAATCATTCAGCGTATTTATATTTCGAACAATGAAAGGTTTCTAGATCCACTGATGAATATCTACAGTATTCTTGTGCACTGCTGGAGACCGATGTTGTGCTACGGATAGACGGAATCTGGTGAATGCGTGAAAAAAACTGCCTTTCAGGACAATTTTCGCTAAAGCTACATGATATCCGATTTGATAAGAAAGGGTGAGGTCTTATGCAATACCCAATTTCGATATAAACTATGCTCTCAGAATAGATGCTGTCAAAAGAATCAGAGTTGCAAATCTTTTAGATGCTCATGTTTCATGATATACGGTTTCGAAAACCTCGCCGAGGACCTAGCTGGTTTCCTGAGTGACATACGAAAGTTGAAAGTGAGAACCTGCAGAGCTCTTTTTTGATGTCGTAGAAAGGAAATCAATATGTCCAGAGTAAATAGCAGAAAGCATTTGACTGTTGACAGAAAAGTCGACTGTCAATGATGAATGCATTGAAACTTAGTGCACCACAAGGTAGTACGCCGGACAAGAAGACCTCAAAGAATGAATATTCAATAAGGTGTTTAACTATGCAATATTAACACTGCTACCATGGCAGCTTGATAATGGTAGCTGATCAACTAACAAGAAAAGGATACTTGGTGACCGTGGCCTTTCGAAATGAAAAGTACACCACTAAATGCATCTTGAAGCACTGATTCCAAATCTGTTTCCATTATCTGCTGTGCGCTCTTCCAAAAGAAGTTATGGGCACTTCTTCTCACCAAAATGTGCACTGCTTTTGATTCAGTATTCACCAATATCGCTAGATTGTTCGCTCACGCTTTACAAAAGAACGTACAGATAAAGTAAAGATTTACGTTAAGCTCAGGAAAACTGTCACCGATACATCATAGTCTAAAGAGCCTGAATAATGACGATTTTGACTGCCTAAATCTCGCAAAATCGATATGGAAAAAGTCCATAACTTCGTTCAGGGAGTCGCACAGCAGATGATGAATATGGATTCGAAATCAGCGTTCCAAGGCGCATCTACTGATATACATCTCATTGCAAAAGTCCACGGTCGCCAAGTATCCTTCCCTCGTAAGACGTAGCACGCGCTTCATTTAATTTTATCAAATCTCAGTCCCAGAAACCGATTCAATTTCAACGAAAAGAGACTGGGTTGCGAATCAAAAGAAATAATGACCGAAATGAGGAGAAATCGTTAACCCCTGCCGTCGATGCCAGTAAGAATGAATCAATTCAGATCAAATCAATTTGATCTTGTCAGATCCCAAGACAAATAGCAGTGCATATTAACACTGCAGTTCCTCTTCATTAAACAACTATTATGATTGCAGGGAAGATAAAGATATAATCTAGTGAAAAATGCACACTGCCGCACCAAACTAAGATATAAGTTGGTAAAATCATGCAATGTTTCATGAACGCACAAGAGAATCTTTGTCCCGTACAAAAAGTGCCTCGATGGACTAGCCGACAAGAACGTGTATTGACTGGACATGCAGCATGTCGTATGCGTGTATAAGGAATAGGCAGGTAAGGCTGATTGACTGGTAGTTCAAGCAAACATGAATTTAAGAGCGAAAGCGTACACTAAGACCGGCAGTCATCTATTATCAGGAAAGAGGATACGTGTCAAAGGCAACAATGCTTTTATCGAGATACATTTGGTAAGAAAGACGAATATTCACGACCCTACCTGACCGAAACAAAAGACCATATACTGACTTGGCCTCGGCAAGGCGGGGCTTCGTGACCTAAGTAGGGCTAGGTAATACCGGAGAGCACTCGCGCGAGAGAGACGCAGGTGCGTCACGGGCGCGGGTGGCTCTAATTGGGTCACAAAGCCCCGCCTTCCCGAGGCCAAGTCAGTTGAATCAAAGGTTATGTGGTGGTGCACTTAAAGGCACTGTCCGGGCAAAAACTCGATTTCTAGAAAATTCACTTACCGGGGTTATCCGCAACGATGAATCCGAAAATCCACTTTAGAAGGCGCGAAAACGGCGAGAACATACGGTTTCCAAAGCCGCATAATTTAAAATTTGACGGTCACCACCGAGGCAGCGACGCAGAGTCGCTGCGGAACCCTACAATCTAACTGTGGCGGCATGCGTACTCTGCCGCATAGCAGGAATTCGGCCAGCTCGGAGGACCCCGCCCAAAGCGTAAGTTTCCCCACTTTCCGGTCGTTTTTCTTGCTTTAGGTCGAGCGTTATGACGTCGCACTTGCGCGATGTTGTGTCCGAGGGGGGCCACTCTCGCATGGCACTGAAATCCCAAAACCCCCATCTCACCCGGACACTGCCTTTAGAGGCAGCGTCCAGGCAAAGCTGACCTGTGGGGCTCTCACGTGGATAGTAATCTTGGGGCCCTAAGGCCCTGGCCAGACTTCGCTCAAAAGCGCCCAAAAGCGCTCAAAAGCGCGCAAAAGCGCCCAAACTTCTCTGACCTCTCCTCACTCTCTCACATCTCTCCTCACACGAGAAAGTGAAGAGACACCAGAGAAATTTGGGCGCTTTTGCGCGCTTTTGGGCGCTTTTGAGCGAAGTCTGGCCAGGGCCTAAAAGCCACTGTCAACCGGCAGCTCAGGTAGTGCACTAATGGCTGAGATATTCGCCTCGAAACTGGACCCCGGGATCGTATTTCGCATGGGGTCATGGCGCAAATCAATTTCGCACGAGGACCCATGGGTTGCGCGTGGCAGTTTCGAGGGGAATATCACAGCCGTTAGAGGACTACCTGAGCTACCGGTTGGGCAGTGCTTTAGTTAGAGCCCCAAAATTACTTTTCACGTAAAATCCCTACAGGTCGAAATTTGCCTGGACGCTGCCTTTAAGCACTATCATAGCTTATACGAAAAAATCACAGTTGCGGGTACTCTCAATAGATGAAACGAAATATGCAGGCACTAACTGACCTGCGCATCCATTCTAGAGAGACAAAAAATGTCGATCCAAAGCGATCATCCCAATTGGCTCTATAATTTCAATTATGTTGCGTATGCAGGCACAAACACGATGTATATGGATAACGATGTTATAAAAAAAAAAGAATGTAAAGCGGGAGTTGCACAATGGTAAAGAAAAGCTACAGCTAACACAAAAATTCTAATTCTATAAGATGTGATGACAGCTGAGCACGAAACATGAATGGTTCATTCACGATGATTATGTGCATGATTTGAATGGAGATGCTGCACGTATGAAGGCTAATACAAACTACATACGTACGGACGTAAGGTTAAATCGTAAATACTAATCAAAAATAATGTTCAATGATGTTGGAAACTAAAACGTTAGCACAGTCACGAGGGTTCACAACCTTTTACCTCATTTATCTTTGATATTGAAGAAGTCATGAATGATTTGAACTCAAGGCAATTAAGATTATGCGGTCCATAGGCTGCAAACCAAATATATATATAACCAAAAGCTTTGGCGCAACTGATATATATACCACCAGGTTCGAGGTAACTTATCACTGTCGATCAGAGGCGGTATATATCAATCTCCCACACGCTGTCGGGCCATTATTAAGGCTGCGTTCATACTGATCCGGAAGTTCAGGAACAGTTCCAGCGCAGTGCTCGAACTGAGCGCTGTGCTGAAACTGTTCCCGGATATCGGGATCGCAGCCTAACGAGTCCCCGGACAGACGAAAGCGCCATTCCATGATCTATGAGAGTCTGGGGCGCGTGGCCCAAACGGGCAGCAGAGTCCGACCCAGGGTTGAGCAAGAGGTCAGGCACAAGCCCTTCAAAAACGACCCCCCCCCTTGTGAAAGCCCCTAAACGACCCCACCGCTTCACCTCCACGTCCTCAGGGTGTTATCTTTTGAAAGACCAGCTTTCAATGCAGCTTTCTATTTCTTGAAAGTCTGTAGGCCCGGCTTTGTGCGATTGAACAACTACACGCAACTTGACGGCAAGTTTTGAATCTCGATAGCCCTCTTTTCAGAGCTATAATTTTCGCAGGGATGGCGTGCTTGGCTCCAAATTTTCAATATCAAGAAGAGGCTTTGCGCTCAATACTCATACTAGAAAAGGGGCGAATTTTGAATATTGAAGGCAAGTTAATGGGGTCGGGCGCAACCCCTCAAAAGGTCAGGCCGCCTGAGCTTTTGAGGGGTTGCGCCTGACCCCATTAACTCTATTTCCGAAGAAGCTTTTCTACCCAAGTTTTATGTGATTCGCTAGCTCAACCCTCGAAGATTCAACAGTAAGTGTTTGAGCTTGAGTCGACTTGTTTCGGTCTTGTGCTATTCCGAGGAGTTGAAGCACTCAATGTGAAAAATGTAAAAAACGGAATTTTGGCAGTACTTCTTACTTCACTTTGGAAGCGATATGAAGTCTGATTTGTAGCATAGACTTGTAGTGAACATTACTTTGTAGTGAGTATAGAAAAGCTTACAATTCTCACTTTTGAAACCAAGTTAATCATGTTTGAAAATCACGTTTTTTGGACGTGAGAAATACTAAAAAATGCAGAGGCAATGGTTTGTAGAGCGCACAGAGGTAATTTGACATGCTGATTACGGAAAGGATTCAGCATTTCACACAGCAAGCTTCCTTGTCGATCTCATGATCTGTCAAGGTAAAATAGAAGATTAAATTTTGGCTAACTTGGCTTGTGGGAACAATCAGTATGCTGTTAACGACCGTCATTCCTTTAGGTGATTGTGATATCCACCGGACTAGCGCATTTCTTCTTCACCTTCGAAGTGTCTCCCCAACTACAAAATTCGATTCTTAATTACAACTCCCTCCCTCAGTCTTACCCTCAATACGACCCCCCAGATCAGGCGCGCCTGACCCCAAGCTCAACCCTGGTCCGACCTGTCGTGATCGGGCACGACAGGGCACCTGCCGTGTCCGACATGGCCAAACTTGCCAGATCGGACCATATTGTCACTTGGCTTCGTATTCGCGCTGTGACCTGTACAAGAACCCTTCCCATATAAAAGACTGATAAATATCGCCCCAGAAGACCGGCAAAACGATGCTGCCGATGAGTTAGTTGCCTGGCAGCGCGCAAGGTAGTTTCCAATCAGTTGATTGAGACCTTCTTTACCTAAGTCCTCATCATCAAAGCTACCGAGTTTGCTTATCAACAAACTTGTGCGGATCTGCCACACAAAAACCGAATTATCGCGTAACCACGACACATGCAATGACCCAGCAAATTTCCAAAATTATTAAGGCTCTTTGAATTGGGTTATATATAGCACAGGATTTTCCCTAAAATGTCAAATCGGAAGCAGAGAGATGATTCGAAGTCAAAAAATAGCTGCTTATTAGACTCTATCGGTTTTGGCGCTTACTAGGCTGATCAGTATTGACCAGGCCAACATAGCAGGTCCTTGCCACAGCGTGTTGCAAAAAGGCTGAGTTATTTTTGTGCTAGAACTTGAGTCTGTCGAGCCAGTTTCGAATGGAGAATCCATTCGTTAGTCACTTCATTCAAAATAACAACGCTGATGTGCAGAACGGCGCTCGATGTTTTCAGGAAAGGGATGTGAATTAAAATCGTTATCGCTAGAGGTAGGTACATATGAGGCCTAAACGCGAAAGCATCGATTTCTTGTCGAATTTTTTGTTCAATGATGTACAAGCGCGAACCACTTTATATATGCCGAAAGGCTGTCCACTAGAACTAGGAACGTTTGAAGCAGAACCTTTTGCCAGATTCCTGATTAGCATTGTAACAAAGGAAAGGGAGAAAGCAAGCGAGGCAAACATTCTTTGTAGACGTAAACATTACAGTACCCGTTCTTTTCTAACGAAGGACATGATTTCCTGCTAACTGGCCAAGATATGCAACACATACAGTTCAAATGTTCTGCTAAAGTTGCGAAGAGAGCAAAGGATTGAATAGATATTTTGCAAAGTGAGGCGAAAAGATGAGTGCTGTCTGTAGCTGCGACCGCCACATGTTTTCCGCGGAACAATGGCGCTATCGTTTTTCCTGAATGTGTTTATGTTGTGCATCGCATCGTTTATTCTTGGTGAGGTACCCGGTGGTCACACTCCCACATTTACATCGGTGCTTTTCGGTCTGCGCGATTCGTTCATCACAAAATTTCACAAATTTTGACTCGATCAAATCAAACACCTTAGATGAAAGGAGCGAAGTATCTGTTTGAGCTTTACACAAGAGTCGTAAGAAAGAAGCAATCATTACGATTAGATGAAGGTGTCAAGCAGTTCTGCATCCTTTCCAAAAGCAACCTGACAGATGCAAGGAAGGGAGGACGAAGTTTTTGTTTATCGTAATTTGGGAACCTATTCCTTGATTGTGAGCAGTTATTATAAAGTGAAACAGAATCAAGCCCTACATCTTCTTCATATTCACAAAGCGCAAACCCTAAACAAGAATAGAGAAGAACAAAGTAAGATGGAAGAGCCTCTAATATTTCAAACGCTGCGCGCTGTGTCTCGCGGAAGTAGTAATGGTAAAAATACCGAACTATGACTATACAAGACGTAGTTGTGTAATATGTCATAGAGCACACTACATGACCTTCCAACGCTTGCTGATTATGTCTCATTACAATCATGGGCAATTTTCTGATTTGAAGAAAACTCACCCTGCGTCGCCGCCATGAGCAACTTTAGCCGTTTTGAGAATACTTCTAGGTGGCATTCACTGAAGTGAAAAATGTATTCCATCGACATAGTACAGAAGTTCCATACCGGGTTCGTTATAAATAACATGCCACCAGTCCACAACGAAAGCCGATGAATGAATGGAACTTCCGCTACGCATGCAAGTGTTGTCAAGTTCTTGGTATCCTGATTCGACACGTTCTTGCGAATTTTACCCGCGATCTCAATATTGGGATATTCAGCACTCAAAAACTACCGGAGGAAACGAAACAGCGAATCCTCCCTATCATAACTTATACTTCGTAGTCACTTATCTTCGATTCTTTGAACAATGACTAGTCGTTCGAGTAGCGATGTGGTAGTAATTGCACAAACTGTCTACCTTTGGCGTCCCCATCTTGGATTGTAAGAGCAGAAACTCCTTCAGGAAGTATTTTGTTCGGTGTTTCCACTATGTTTCACCGTTTTAGGTACCTTCTCCACAAAAGTGATGAGAGCCATAACAATCGGTCAATCTCTTGCCATTTGCATTTGCAAAACAGGATGGAGACGCCAAAGATGGACGCTGTGTGCAAAACACACATGATTATATGAAATGCTTCGACTGTAGAAAACATGTACAGTAAATTCCGACCCGCTTTAGGCGGAAATCGAATTGGCGGGAGCCTCGCAACAGTTCGCGCAGTTTCGCAGCTACAGCATGTCATAAGCTACTTTTCGTCATCAATCGATATCGATTTTATCGATTTTTTATCGATTTGTAAAGTTTGAGCTACAGGGCTGGGAGTTGGCACAGTGGGGTAGTCGAGCATGCTGATTACTAATATAATATTAGTTTTTGAAATCGTCCATTACTTTTATCGATTTTATCGATTTTTTGCAGAATTTGAGCTACAGGGCAGGGATTTGGCACAGGGGGTAAGTGAGCATGGCGATTCCGAATACAATATTAGTTTCCAGAGTTATCGATTATTTTCTATCGATTTTATCGATTTTTTGCAGAGTTTGAACTACGAGGCTGGGAGGGCGCTATTCCACATAAGTTGACCCAAAAAATGAAGATCGTGAATTTAGCTAAAACTTCGTCTAGGGAGGTTATTTGGTACGCTGAACACGAATATGATGTTTATTTCGTGCGACAGTGCCATCAGGTGGAGTTACGGTAGGATTACGGTAGGGGGTCAAAATCACGGATTTGCCCGAAACTTGGCCCAGAGGCGTTATTCGGCCCGCTGACGCCGAATATCACATTGGTTTCGTACTGTAGTGTCATCTTCTCGAGTTACGGTGGGTATACGGTAGGGGGTCAAAATCTCGAAATTCGCTGCAACTTTGCACAGAGGGGTTATTCGACATGCTGATTAGAAATGTCA